TAATCCCCTCCTTAGGAACCCCATGTTCATTTCCAACAAGGCTAGACAACCTTTTGGTGATGATGGGCTGTATGTAATATTTAGGAGAAGCTGAGTACTACAGCGCATGAGGGAGTGATTCAAATGGATGATCTTGATTTTTGCTTGGGGGAGGCTTTGGGGATTTCTCTTTGTTTTTCAAGCTATTTTAGCCAAATCATACTGGCTATGTAACAGTTTTCACATGTGTCCTGCGTCAGAATAGCAGAAAACCGTAACACCAATACAGGCAGAGGGATATCTGACCTTCTGGGGAGCCAAGGAAAAGGGGCCAAGGGCCACATATGATATGGAGCTATAGCCACATGACTCAGCAGAAAGGTAATTTTCTTAGTGGCAAGCAGCAGTTGGCTGAGGCTGAGACTTGCCTAAAATGGATAAGTTCTAGCAAGAAGGGCACATTCATTCTCAGGCCGCTGCCTCGCTGATGCACGGAGATAGCTGTAGATCGGCCCTTCCCAATGTAGGCACCTGCCAGATGTGAGGACGAAAGAATTCCCACGCAAGTAGGCCTATTCTTCAGAAGGAGTTAACCCACGTGGAGGTTTGGGGAAGGCTGCTCTAAACGTATTCTAATTCTTAGCCCAGTCACTCACTAAGACTTATAGTAGCTCTAGATTTCATGTGTCTTTGAACTCTTTGCCTATATCTTCTCCTTTTTCGGTGGAAGGTGTTGCAACGCCTTATTAAGTCCAGAGGGAAATCACAGGTGAAGCATCTCAATGTGCAAATGATGGCTGCTGACAAGCTTGTCCAGTGTCCTCCAGTGAGTGTTTTACACATAATGTTTTTGCTTAATCTCCACGTCCTCTTCCTCCTCCTCCTCCTCCTCCTCCTCCTCCTCCTGGCACAGAGTCTGCTTGGGTCATAGGTGAAAGAGATTTCCCTGGGTGTCCTCTCCATTGATGCCCTGCCCCTTCCTTAAAGAGACTGATATAAAGTCATATTCTAGAATCAATTTCCTTTTGGACATGCACAGAGTGCTTTTCCCACAGACTCCAAGCAATACTAGTCTCATTTTATATACATCCTCAGAAGTGTCTGGCATCTTTACAGGGAATTTATGCAAGTTCTCAGTTAATAGATTTACTTACTCAGGAATCCAGGCTCTCACTGAATTTGGGGAAACCATTTAAGCCTTAAATGTACAGTGATAGCTCTGTGCCTGTTTTAAGAGAGATGCCATTTCCCAGTACTTAATCATGGTCACTACTGAACACTATAACCCTTGTACGATGCCTCAACAGCTGTTGTCTCTGTTCGAGTCTTCCTCTGTCTGCCGCCTTACAGGGGTGTTGAACCAGAGTTCCCACTCTTCCCCCGCCACTGCTGTTGTTCTGGTTTGGGATTGTGGGAGCAGGAATACAATACAGAGGTGGCCCCAAGGGCAGATCACAGTGGTTTATAACTCTGGAGCTTACTCCTTCCTCTTCCTTCCGATCTTTGCTGTTTGTTCCCCAAGGAGCTCTTTGATGTGATCCTAGATGAGAACCAGCTGGAGGATGCTTGTGAACATCTGGCTGAGTATTTGGAGGTATACTGGCGAGCAACCCACCACCCCGCACATGGCCTTGGGAGCCAAAACCTCCTGACGGCTTCTACTGCCATTCCTGGCCTGCAGGTACAACAAACTGCCTTCTTGCCCCAAATGAAGTCTCTCTAGTACAGCATCTGGTTTCTAGTAGTGACTGTGTCAGATGTTTCCAAGTTCATTTAGGGACTGCAGAGGCAATAGGCTACCCTTGTTATCGCTAACAATTGGAGTTGCTATTATACTGTCCCCAAACTGAACATCAGATGGGACAGGGAACCCAGGCCCTCCAGGTACTGGACTTCAGATCCCATCAGCCATAGCCAGCATTGCCAGTGGTAATTGTCTGTGTCCAAGAATATTTTGATTGGGTTAATCTCTTAGAGAATCTTCCACCAGCTACGCTTCTCATTCTAAAAGGCTAACTTTTGGTGAGGTTGAAGAGACCAGTATATAGCTAAGCCTCATTAACCCATGAAGAAATATAAGCAAATTTATTCTGTCTCTCCTTTCAATCCCCCAAGGTAGCTGATTGATTTGATTAAAATGTTTGTAGGGAGACTAGTATGGAAGCAAAGAATTGGATAGTCCTAATCCAAGTGAAATTACATGTTCATAAATACTGTAATTGGAAACAGCGTGTATGAGGCGTAACACAGTCCTGTGCACATAAAGAAATTGCAGGGCATTGGTAGGATTTATTTCGGGTCTGTGTGCGTGAAAGTGTAACTTCAGCCAAGGTTTCAGTAATTTCGGTATGAGTGCAGTGAACGGTAGATGGATTGGGGATCCTGCAGTGTAGTCCCACAGAAGCTCTTGGATGGAGCAAATTAGGGGCCAAATTCCAGCCCAGCCGTGGCCGTCCTGCCTGGAGGGTGCTGGGCAGTGGAAGGCTTGTTAATGACTTCTTCTGCGGTTCCCCCCCTCCTCAGAGCCAGGCCCCGATGGGTGAGCAGGACAGCGAGCGCTCCCCGGTGGAGCACGACAGCTTGATGCAGTCTGACGAAGTGAGCGATGCCTCGCGCAAGATGTGGACGGCGTCCTCTCAGCGCAGCTCCCGGCACCTGGAGGATGAATATGCCGATACCTACACTGACCTGTACCAGCCTCACCGCAACCACAACAGTGGCCTGCGCAGCACCAACGGCCACGACTCGCAGGACCGTCTCCTGGAGCGCGACTCTGAGCACAATCACAATGACAGGAACTGGCAACGCAACCGGCCCTGGGCCAAAGACAGTTATTGACACTTCCTGGCCAGGCATCCAGGGACGCAAGACACGCCGCTGCTGTCCTTGCCCTCTCCCAAACTGAGTTAATTGCCTGATCTCCAGCCTCTGTCTCTTTCCCTTTGTAGCTGAACCCCACCAAGTGCAGGCCCTGCCCCAGTACACAGGTGCTATCTAGGGAAGCCCAGACGTGGCCATGGTTGCCTAAAAGTGGGGTAGGCGATGTGTCTTGCCCACTTTTGCTGTGGATTACGAGGGCCATGGTAATATCCTTGCAGGGTAAACTCCACCGGCAGCTTCGCATCCCAGTTCTGTTTTGGGCGGGGTGGGGAGGGTAGGAGTTGGATTTGGGCTTCTGCATCTCAGAGGAGGACAACTCTTCCAAGGGAGAAGCTGGTTGTAGCTCCTCCTGAACTGAGCAGGAGAACAGAGCTGAAGATTACAAGCGAGAGCGAGCTAGGCATGCTGAGTCCGTACGGTGAGTTTATTTCTTCCAAATGGGAGAAGCAGAGCATCACTTTTTGCCTTGCCCTAAGATTAGACCTGTGTGCTTGTGTCACAAGATCAGTCCGGAAACTGAGATTGGTGTAGATACCAAGAGTGCTAAGTAAGAGTGCTGTACTCTAGGAATTGATATGGGTGAACACCAGTGCTGATTCAATTACAGGGCATGATCTTCATGGCACTGGCAACCATTTTGTGCAAGTGCTTCAGTGAATCATGTACAAGAAGCAGCAGATGAGGCTGAACTGCATTATTTCAGCCTGCCTATAAAAAGTAATATATTAGGAAGAAGGTAGAACTAAAATGCTCCCTGACATTTAATGTTCTGTATTCAGGGAACTTAGTTTCATTTAAAATTGAAATGATGAAAGAACGTTCAGCTATGGCAGGATGATCCAAGAAGTTATTGGCAGGTGATGTGCTGCCGATTTGGATATAATCAAAGTATCACAAGGCCAAAAGACATAGGATATTATAAATGTTCGTGAAGATCATTGAGAGGGCTACACAGCTTCCATCTTCTGTTGCCCTTGCCATTATGGATAGATGGATAGGGCCAGATACAAAAGAAAAAAACCACTCCAAACTTCAGACTTGCCCAAGGTTTTTCTTAGTCTTCATATTGTTCAATGTAACTTCCATGACTTTGAAGCAAGTTACCTATTCTAAAGAAGCTGAGATGCAAATTATGTGCTGTGCACTAGTGCATGTAATAAAGCCTCAAGGCTTTCAGAAGAAAAGCAGGAACATTTGGTAGAGAAGCAACAGGAGAGGGGTTTAGCCTTTTCCATCCTAGCTCAAAAATATCCTCTGCCCAACTCACCCCAGCCAGCTGGCTGCCTTTTCTAGATGGATTTTTAGATCTAAGGGGGGAATCTTCAGCAGAGAAAATTATTTTGCACAGAAAATAGCCAGTGTAGAAGGGTTTAAGGAGGCCCTTTCCTAACCTTGCTGGCCTTCTGCTCCAAAACTAGTTCATCCCCAATAGAGTGAAATCCTTGAAACCCTCATTTCCTTGGAACAACAACCCAACGCTCAGCCTTGTTCCTCTTGTCCTGCTTGTAGGACTAGGTCATCTCCTGCATACAGTCACTTCTGTTAGAGGACTAGTGGGAAGACATTTTTAAAACCACAATATGAGATGCTTAAGTCTGTATCCTCCTCACTCTTTCCAGAATTCCTTGCTAATTGCATGCAACCTTGATCTTCCACATTCTGCTTGTTTTGTGGGATGAGGAAGGAAGATGAAGTGCTGAGTCTCTACGGGTTCTGCTATTTCATGGTGACTCCTATCCTCAGCACTTTGGACTTCCATCTTGTGGAAGTGGCACAGGGCTATAGCCATCCTATTTCCTGCTTTCTCTAATGCACAACCCCTGCTCTTCCACTCCCCTCTTCCATTTTGGTGGAGAGCGGGTGGCAGCCCCTTCCCTCCACAAGCACGTACAGCTACCAGAAAGCAGCCTGTAAATACTGCCCACTAGCATTGGGAGTTGTGTTGAGTGTCTGTTGTACCCCTGGATTGTCCAGAGCCGAAGGGGAAATGTTCTTCCTCTTTTGTGGCTTAGGTGGTTTGAAGGTAGGGAGATCTATTTCTGTCCCTGCGGTTGTTGTTTGATGGGCTGCAGCAACAGCTTTGTTACTCTTTTGTAGAGAGCACTTATTTCCCCCCAAACTTGTAAGCCGTTCGAAACAACAAGCATTTGCTATTTATAAAATGTGGCTGAGTGGATGTTATTTAGAGCACAGCTGCGAGGACACTGGGATGGAGTGATTTGAAGTGGACAGAACTCAAGATGGTGTTGGCTGGTGTTCATAACACCCATCCCCTATACAACATTAAACCCAACACGGTTCCATAGCCAGAGCCTGGGATGAACAGACTCCCTATGATGAGTGTTCAGCATTCATCCACCACAATTTTAAATTGGCTCCAGAGCTATTCTCTTCTGAGGCAGGAGTAAGGGTTGGACTGCTCTCATTTGTAGCGCCTTCGGCTACAGCTCCCAGGGTTCCTTGAGGGAAATCTGTGACAAGTACATGTGATACATAAGCCACACAATAGCAGTATAATTAATTGTCTCAAGAGTTCAGGCACAGCAACTTTCATGTTAAAGTGCAAAAGGTTCAACTACTGTAGCTGGAATAAACAAGGCCCTCCTCTTATTTCAAATGGCACTTGTACAATGGGGAGAAAAGCAGGTCGGTCAGTGGTAAATAGAATTGACTGTAATCCTCAAGTTCTCGATTGATGATTTACCCATCAGTTGCATTCAACCTAGGAAGAGTGCTGAGTAGCATCTAACCTTCCTCAGATAATAACCAAAACACTGCAATTGCCTTTTAATTACAGTAAAATGTCAGAAGTCTGCCTATTAACCAATACTCATATTAAAGTGTGTGTAACACACCATATAAATAGCATTTCTGCTTGCTCCCAGTGTATCTATTCTGGCTTTCAGATGTAGTAGAACAAACCCAGCCTAACATCAACTTTTCCCTAACTGCCTAGCAAGAGGTCGTCTCCCAAAGGGCTTCTCCTTTCCATGCACATAATGCATTTTTGAAATTCTCACTTTGAACATTGAGAATTCAATTGAGAAATTGTTTTGAGGAATGAGTACCCAACAGCAAGCCTCATTGTTTCTGGCTTTCAAGAAATGTTTTAGAAAGCCATGGCCTGGAAATCTAGCTTGTAGGCAATGTGAGCTAGTCTGTAAAGCCATACTTTTTGCAGAATTCCAGACCATAAATTTGGTTTAAAAAAAAATATTTTTGTATCAATTGCCTTTAAAGTGAAAACCTAAACAGCTGGCCTCAGTAGAACCCATCAGTTGCAATGAGATAAGCTATAGTATACAGTCTAAAAATGAGCATAACAAATATCTCCTCATTGCATCATCCTAATGGGGATGCAAATGGAGAATAATCATGTTCATAAGCCTAGACATTTGTGTATCAGGTTGTGCAATTTTGCATAGTGTGAAATGCAGCACGAGAAGCGTTTTCAAGTAGTTTCTCAAGCTTGTGCTATGAAGTTGATGAACAGCCAGGAATGTCACCTTAAGAGCATGGAAGGTTACATAAACAGGGGACTCTCTAGTAGCCCTAATATGACTATAACATGGCACAATTGACAACTGACTACCCTCTCCCTCAAACGCCTGGTTTAATAGGGTTGCAACACATATTTTGTAAACAAAAGAGAACCCAACATTTGCCTCAACGGCTAGCACTTTTTCCTGAGACTTTTAGAACTGATGTCAAACACCGCTATTTTGCCCATGATTATCATTGCCAATCATTAAATAAAAACTGGTCAAAGGAGCAAAAAAATGTTTTTTCCAAATTCAGCTTACAGCCTTACCTGCTACCTCAGAAGAAAACTACAGCAGCTACTGCCAGAGGAAATTATTGGCTTTGAAGGAAACAAGGCATTTCTTTGATTTCTCCAGTCTTCTCAATTTAAGTATTATTTTGCTCCAAGCAGTGCTGCTGTTTCTCATTCACATATAATGTAAAATAGCACAGCGTTAAGCAGCCAACTTATTCTTATTTTTAATTGATAGTCCCTTTAGCAGAATTGCTTCATTCAAAAGACACAGCAGCAGTAGAACTATGACAGCCGTATCACGAATCTTTACAAAGTACATATTTTTACTTGTGAAAAACCAAGAATAAACAGGCAGACAAGTGAACAATATTTCATATGGATTTATAGTAATTTTTTTTTCAAATCATTGAAAAAAATAAGAGTCTTTCTGTACATTATCTGCCCTTTTTATGCAGGGGGAGGCAGTTCTGGATAAAACAAAAACAAAGTATTGCATTGAAACAACAGCTTGGGATTATAAATGGGAAGAAGTCCTCACTGGAGCAGGAAAAGGTCTGTAAAACTAGGTGACCGCAAACAGAATTCTCCTCATCACTGAGTCAAGCCCAAAGTCTTTCTTGTCTGATTTTTGGACAAGAGGGGAGATGTAGAAGTAGATACCTGAAACCCCCTCTGAATATGGTTTGGAAGTATCAATCAGCAAGGTGAGACTGCTGGCCATTCTCAACAAAAAAGAAATACAAGTTTTCCATAGACATCATCTTCAAGAAGAAAATTAAGAGATTTGTTGAGATCAGGATTTGTAAGATGACATTCTGTCTCTTGGAGTAATGTTCCCATTGTCCAGTCTTGAATTCTATGCAGGGTTATATATAGTGGGAAAAGTGTATCTACATTCACAGAAAATGAGAAAATGAAACAGCCACTTCATTGTTAAAGACTAGAAGAGCCTCTATGCTTTACCCTGTGTCACGGCCTTGGCCTCAAATGGTGGTCAAAGGCTGCCCCTGGTTATCATACAAGGGGGGGGGGGGGGCCCTCCTTGTAGCTT